CAAACGTAGCCTCCCCATAGTTTAAAACCACTCAAAATTACCCACCTGAAGCCATCTATAACTTCTTTAAAACCCAATTTATGTATCATATCGTTCCACAAACACTGGCTTGTTTCCGTGACGTGCCCAGAGCGGAGAGACAGCGCAAAGCAATAAGCAGCAGGATTGGGGTGTCTGCTTTCAGTGGAGAAAATTAATTAATGAAATGATTGAAAGGTCTAAACCGTGGCAATGCTCAGACGTCAATTTGAATTAGAGAAGCAATCTTTAGTGGACACTGCCTATCTCAGCCAATTTATACCATTTGTATCTCTGCTGTTTATTTCAATTTGCAAAACCCAAACACAAATATATGTATGGTTTTGGATCCTACATCAACAAGAAGCAATTTAAATGAAATATAACCCTCTAAATTCAAAGATGCACTGTGTAACTTCTAGGCTGGAGGCTTTGCTACTTGCTTTTCTCCGTGTAGATGTGATTTCTTTGCCTGGAATGTTCCACAGTAGAGCATTAAACATTATCTCCTCTTGCATTTGTTCAACTGCAGATGTTTTAAAGCTCAAAAACACCTTTAAAAACATGAATTCTTCACATGTGCAGGCTTGCTTCTCCACAGATCTGACCATAAACCAGTCGCTATTGCGGTTACTAAGTTTATTTCCATACTGTGTGGAAAGACCAAGACAAAACAGGAATATTTCTTCCTCCAGAAAAGTTACACAGTGCACCTTTACAGTTGCCAGTAACATAACGTGTAGGGATGTAACGATATCCAAATCTCTCGATGCAATATTATCACGATATGCATCTCACGGTACGATATTAATTGCGATATTTTGGATAAGCTAATAAATAAATAAATAATTGTAGATAGGACACTTTTTTACTTTTAAAATACCCTGACAAGATTTTGGTGTGAATTATTTCCGTCATAATCCCAAGAATTCAAGTAAAGAACATATTTCTTCATGTTGTCTGCGCTGAAATGAATCATGGGATCTGTAGTTCCCGATGTTTATTAGCTGTTGCTACTATAAAACCATGTATTTAAGCAAAAGATTTTGTAATAGCCCACGGTATTATTGTGAGACTTTTGACGATACGATATCTTGATATTTTGGTTATTGTTACATCCCTAATAACGTGTAATTTTCATCAGTATACAATTTACAAACTAGGAAAGGCTTTCAAAACTTGGAAAATCTCACATCTTCACACTTTCGGCTTAACTTGAGTCACCATTTTGCAGAATACATGATATTATCTAAAAATGTAACCTTCCTTTTATGGTCATATCACCCACATAAGATCTGTTGTATAGTTAGGCTGCAGTGTTTCCCGCAGAAAACTGGTTAGTCAAGGTGATGACCGTGGGGGCGGAGAAACCGTGCCGGCGAAAGTGAGGACCGGGGAGCGACGACCGTAGTTTTGCGAGGATTTGCGTGGTTCAGAGGGATGTAATCAAGGCTGGGGGCAATTTCTGTCAAGGCGGTCACCCAATTGTTGTTAAGGCAACCGTCCTAACTATAAAGCGCTGCAGGAAACACTGGGCTGTATAAACTCTCTACTATAGGGATTAGGGATGGGCATGATTAATCGATTAATCGATAATTGATCATTAAGAATTTCATCGATTACGTTAATTTTAATCGACAAACCGAATGTAGGTTGCTGTGTGTAGCGTGACCAAACAGGGGTCCGTACATGTGTCTCTGCATCAGAAGGAGCGAGACACAAACAGTCGGTCAGTCTGCAACGTACCGAAGCACAAATGTGTATTTAACGATGATTTATACAAGAAAATCCACGCTTTCCGTTGCGTTCGGGACAAGTGTGAGGCCATGTGCACAGTGTATAAAGCAGCACATATGTTTCGGTGTCCAGTGGGAAAAAGCTTTGCCAGGTGAGAGTCGCGCAATGTCGATGACGAGTCCCCACCTCCCTCCCCCCGTACGGTGTCCTGGTTTTGACAAACACAAATCTGGTCACACTGACCTGTATTCACCTGAGTCATGTCTTTTAATCCTACAAAAATTGCAAGAGCTGTACTTTTATCTTCGCTGAGTTTATGCAAATTAGCCATGCAGTTTTAAGTTTCGTTTCTGTGAGAGTTGCGCAAAACTGAATTAAACACATTATAATCTAAAACGGATTGATGTGGCTCTAGAGTCGTTACGGTTTATATGTCGTAAACTTGAATTTATTTATGCAGATTAGTAGTGCAGATAGTAATAATAATGATGATCATTTTAATATAAAAACGTTAATGATTAATCGATAATCGATCGTTAATTCTTCCGACGATCGATTAAGAAAATTTCATCGAATGCCCATCCCTAATAGGGATGCACCAATACAATACTGGTATCAGATATTGGTGTGACAGAAGCTGAACCACGCACAAGAGCATTTTTTTTTGTTTTTTTCTCTCTGCTTAGTTTATGCAAATTGGCTATGTGGTTTTAAGTTTCATTTCTGTAAGACTTGCGCAAAGGTGCATTAAACACATTATAATCTCAAACGGGATGATGATTTATATGTTGTAAAGTTGAGTTAATTTATGCAGATTAGTAATAGTAATAATAATGATGATACTTATTATATAAAAACGTTAATGATTATTAATTAATTTATAATTAGTTAATGCCCATCCCTGGTGCCGATATTGAAATTTTTGATGGATTACTTCCGTCGATATCCCATTTTGGTCTATAAATTGGTGTAATAAGACTATTTACTTAACAATATTGGCCCCCAAAACACCTTGTAATATTGAACTTGTATTTTATTTTATTTTTTTTTCAAAGCTGTGTAATTAGTTTATGTGATAAGCAATTTACAAAACACATTCATGGATAATTGTTTCCCATTTGCCATTTATGTGTAAAGGAAATCAATCATTTTCAGTATCTTCATCGTTATTGGTTGATTCTTAACTGATAACAAAAAAATATTATCAGAACTAAAAAAGCTGAATCAGTGCATCCCTACGTCTTTACCTACTCTCTTTGCCAGGAATGCCATTATTTTCCTGCATTTAAACAACATGCAAATAGAAAATAGTTTATGTAATTAAAATTAATAGCTCTTTCGCAGCACCACATGTAAATTCAAGCGCCAGTATTTCCGTATCAATTGCCTCCAGTTTTCTGAATAAGCATCAAACCAAATTATAACTGGTAATTTATATTTCTGCGGGCGATTCATTATAACTAACCCCAAGGACCCCGCGCTCTACGTATGAAATATTCCCACATACGATTCCGCACACAGGCACATTTGCTCGCAGCCAGGAAGAGTAAAGTGCAAAGCTACAATATAAGCTTTCTACAGTCAGCGAATCGGATGTCTGATGTGTACGTAAAGGGGGGTAGGTAGGGGTAAAAATTTATTGCCCCTGAAGGTATATTTGTCCTCTGTATTTGACTCATCTTTCAACGCTGCTATGGCAACCTGTCAGGACCAGCCAGGAGTACCTAGGTCGAGGATTACCCAATATTTGTGCAGAAAACTAAACCATTTTTTTGTAGCACTTTATAATAACTACACCTTATTTAGCCTTAATAAAGCATGAACAAAGGCTTAATTATTAATGAACAAAGACTTAATTAATAATATTCACTCTTAGTAACTACTTAATTACTACCTTAATTAGCACTTGCACTTAATTTGCCTTGTGCTGTAAATAGTTACTCATGATTATTTCATACTTAATTACTCATGAACTAACCATTTGTGCATTTATTAATCATTAGTAAGCTATGAGAGAATGATTTACTAATAATGCAATGCAATGATAATTCAGGCAGCTGTTATCTGTTAGTTAAGTCTTTTTGAGAGCTTTTCTAAAGTGAAGACTAATTATCCTTTATTAAGCATTTACTAAGCGTGAATCATTATTAATTAAGTCTTTGTTCATTATAAATTAAGTCTTTGTTCATGCTTTATTAAGGCTAAATAATGTGTAGTTATTATAAAGTGTTACCAATTTTTTTGACAAGCATTTCGATTACATTTGGAATTTAAGTTTTAAAGGTGCACTGTGTAACTTTTCTGGTAGAGGCTCTGCTATCTATTGGTTTCCATGCTGATGTTATTGCTTTGCCTTGGATGTTCCACAGTATGGCATTAGACTTACAGTATGTATCTTGCATTTATGCTCAAAAATACACTGAAAAAAAAAAAAAAAGATTGGAATAAAAATCAAAAGAACATATAAAGGACTACTTTCTCTCCGTACTGGCGAGAATACCTGTGGAAATGCACGGTGCGCTTCTTTAACACACCGGCACAAAGAGGTTCAAAGGCGGATACATCATGTTGGAGATTATTTGGGACTAAAAAGACTGGGCATTATCATGTTTTTTGGAGCTGCCCCAAACTGAATCAGTATTGGAAGAAAATGAAACAAAACACTGAGAGTAAAGATCCTTTCTATGTTGTTTTTGGGCAAACGGACAGATGACAACAAAAGAACAAAAAATATATATGTGAAACAAGCAAGAAAGCAATAACCGAAAAATGGATGAGTGACAAACTACAGAATTTGGAGGACTGGATTAACATTGTCGAAGTGTGGCACTCGCACAAAGACTGGAATACAACAAGTATGAGGAAAGCGGGAAACCATGGAAAGACTTTTTTTAACACCTGAACAAAAAACAAAAAAAACAAAAAAAAAGGAACATCAGTGACATTCTCTGTCCACTGCTACTCAAATGTGTCTCAAATTGTTTTATTTTACTTTGTATTCTTAAAGGAAAAAGAGAAAAAAAAGAAGAATTTTTAATGTGAAGTGAAAGAAACCAACCATGTGGAAGAAGAATGAAGAGAAAGAAAAAATAATAATAATTGTACATTCGTGATTTGTAACTATCATCTCTATTGGACTGTCAATAAAAATTTGAACTAAAAAAAAAAAAAAAAAAAAAAAAACACTGAAAAGTCTGCATTCTTACTGTGAGTGGGTTTGCCTCTCCACAGATCTAACCTGTAACTCTGCCTCATAGCATCATCTGCGTGACAAGTTTAATGCCATACTGTGTAACTTATGACTGTTACGATTCTGTTCAGAAGGTCACATTTTAAACACGTCCAGAAAAACTGACAAAAAGACTGAAATATGAATTAAAAATCTAAAACAAGAATCACATTTTTGACTCTTTGTGCAGATCTCAACTACAGGGTCAGCAGGTTTTTACGCTGAATAAAACAGAATATTTAGTCGTTTTGTGGAGGAAATTATGGTACATCTGAAATTGTATCCACTCAAATTGCGATTTCGATACGATTGTGCTTCTTGCAGCCCTAACGCACACTGAAAAAGAACTACCACTGCTCCTGCGACAACACAAAGTATCTAAGTACAAGATCTTTTGTTGTAATACTGTATTATTTTTTTACTTGATGCCGCTTAGATAAAAGGTTAAAAAAAAAAGAGAAAGAAAGAAATAGGAACTGCAGGACCATTACAAAAATCGAACCCATTTCAGAACATGTTTGAAGACGTCCAAACTGCAGAGCTAGCAGGATTTATACATCAAAAAAAACAAAAAGACATCAAGGAGATCCAGGTTTTTTTACTGATCCAGCTTTTTCTGTCCCGATACAGATTTCTATACTACAGCTTTAAGTATCTGCCGATTACCGATATATCTACCGATACCAGCGCAAGAACTGAAAACAGCATTTACTTTTATTTATACAAAACTGACCCAGATGTGTTACAACTCATTTATGTCTCAATTAACTATAGAACAACCTTGTTAGATAAAAATTACATCACATTACAAGAATTTCTGGACCAACTACAACAAGTAAATAGTCTTAGTACATGAATTTATACGCTAAAGTAGAATATTGATAAGGGATGGGACAAGATACAATTTCTACGAGACGACAAGACGAGATTTTGATATAATTTTTGATAAACAAATGCCATTCAGTTCATAATTTTTGCGTCACAATTTTTGCTTTATTTAATGTTTTTTTTGTGTGTCACAGCTTCTCAAGAGGAATTACTCAGCAAAGTTAATCCCTTTTTCATCCGCAAATGTAAAAATGTAAGAAAAAAAATCTCACGAGATAATTTCGCAACAAATATCGTACTGTGAAATAAATATCGTGGTAATATCGAATCCATGTATCATTCTTTCATTTGTTTTTCAATATAAAACCAGAAATAAGAAAATGAAAAAACAACTATTTTCTTCTTCATTTGTCTCCAAATCCAAAATGAAAAAAACAGATAATGATTTGTTTTTTCAGTTTTTGGTTTTGTGTTTAAATGAAAAATGGAAAAAAACGGATAACAGCCTTTTCCCGTTTACGTGACTTTAACTGTGATGCTGGACTTTTGCACCACATATGGACTGAACCAGGACTAAAACAGGACTACTCCAGGTACGAGACCAGACTGGAACCAGACCGGGACTGAGACCAGGACTTAGACCGGGACCAGACCAGGAATGAGTACGGAACATGACCGGGACCAGGACCAGGATTGGAGACCAGGATTGGCACCAGACCGGGATTGAGACCGGGATTGAGACCGGGATTGAGACTGGGAACAGGACCAGGACTGAGACCAAGACTGAGACCGGGACTGAGTCCGAGACTGAGACCGGGACCAGACCAGGATTGAGACCAGGTTTGAGACCGGGACCAGACTGGGACGAGACCAGGACCAAAAACAATTTAGTCCTAGTTTAGTCCTGGCTCAGTCCTGGTTCAAATCCGGCATCTCAGTTTAAGTCGCGTAAATGGGAAACGACTATTATCCGTTTTTTTCCATTATTCATTTAAACAAAAAAACGAAAACTGAAAAAAATAATCATTATCTGTTTTTTCATTTTGGTTTTGGAGACAAATAATGAAGAAAACTGTTGTTTTTTCATTTTCTTATTTTTGGTTTTATACTGAAAAACGAATGAACAAATGATACACAGATTATATCGTACTGTGAAATTTGGATATCGTTACATTCCTTAAGTGCACGATCTTGTCCCATCCCTAATATCGACTGAACCGATATTTGGAAGCCGATATTCAATCCAGAAAATGAGTATCAGTATAAATATCCAGAAAAACACCAGTATCAAATCTGTGCATCCCTACTTTTCATCCTATTACCAACTTTAAATAGGTTCCACTTTCAATAATATGTTAATTTAAATTGAGATACACAGATTCAGTCGCGTCTCATCATTAAGTCTTCGGGCCCAGACACCAGAAGAACATGCAAAGCTGTAGGATTCATGATAACTAACCGCTGCGCTTAGCCTTTCTACCAATTAAAACCCAGGGGGGAGCAGATGCATCGAGAAAGACCAACTCCGTGTGAGGTCGTCCCCGCTGGCCTCGTCTCCATAGTAACAGAAACCATCCCACTGTCCATTAAAGTCTATGTACGTGTGTGTTTGTGTGCATGTGTGCGTGTGTGTGGGAGTGTTGTCACGATGCAAAATGTTTAAAACTTGGATTTGGTATGAACAGAAAGGTTTAATGCTCAAAATGTATTTCTATACCACATTACAGACAAGTTAATGTCATTTTAATTACATTTTTTTTCTAAATAATAGTAGTTTATTACCATGCTATTACCAAATTTGTCCTATTTAAGCCAGTTTTTGTCATTAAAAAACAAAATATATAAATTGGTAAGTAGGGGTGGGATGAGTTTTCACGAAACGAGACACAATGAGATTTTGAGATGAGATTTTGACATAATTTGTAGTAAATAATAATAATAATGTAGTCCATTTCTCTATTTTTATTTATTTTATGTAGTACTTTACTGTAGTGGTCATTGTATTCTGCTTTTTGGAACTACAGCTTCTTAAATTGTACCAGTTTATCTCATTTTCTGTCCAAGTCAAAGGTCAATTCAAGAGGAAAAAATCTCACAAGATAATTTTTCTCATGCGTGTACAATCTTGTGTCAATTTTGTCTGGCAAGATTTTGTGCTAAGAGTTTCTGTCCCATCCCTAGTAACTAGTTTTAGTTGATTATTATCTGAATATTGTGGTAGAGCTGGACAAGGTTTAATACTCTTAATATTGATTTCTATACCACATTGTTTTCAGATAATTTAATGCAATTTTAATTCTATGTTTCTATTATGTGGTCTTAGCACTATTCAGAAAATGATTATGATTTATTTTTTCTCATTATCCAAACTAAATACATAAATAGTAACTGGTTTCAGTATAGTTTTAATTGATTAGTATCTGAATACACTGGTAAAAATGAATTAGGTTAAATACTCATTGCTGATTTCTATACCACATTGTTTTTAGACAATTTTATGTCATTTTAATTACATTTTTCTAAATAATTGTAGTTTACAGAGGTGGGGACTTGCAAGTTGTGACTTGGACTCGAGTCAGACTTGAGTCACTATTTTCAGGACTTGAGACTTGACTTGATAAACTGGACTAAGACTTGGGACTCGACTTGGATTTGAAGGTCTGTGACTTGTGAAGACTTGAGAAGCACTTTTAAATCTGAATTTTTTCTATTCTGACTGTAATGATTCACACTAAGGTTTTGTCAAGACATTTAAAAAGGAAAAATTTACTCAATTTCTGCAAGTCTTGTATACTATAAATACTAATATATAAATATACCATGACTTTTTAAGTACAATTTATCTTAAAAATCATATACATTGCAAAAATCTAAATTATATTTGGCACTTTGGTTTAAAGACTTGAAATGACTTGAAGCTCAGAGCAGACGACTTGGACTTGACTTGGACTTATGGGCCAGTGACTCGAGACTCGACTTGGACTTGCCTGTATTTGATTGGGACTTGACTCGGACTTGAGGTCAAAGACTTGAGACTTACTTGAGACTTGGTAGTTTACAATAGCACCATCAGGTCTTAGCTCTATGCAGGAAATCCCCAAATTCGCCCTATTTAGTTTGATTTAGTTGATTTTTTTTGTCATTATTTTATCAATATTTGTTCATATTAGTAACTCGTTTCAATATAGTTTTAGTTGTTTAGTGTCTGTGTATCTTTTTTTGACAAATTGAAAAAGGAAAAGCTGAACAATTTTGGAAAACTAACTATTTGAACTGTTGGGTCTCAAGTATTTCAGAACATATACCGTATATGTAGGGGTCCAAACTAGGGTCTAAATATTGATCCTCAGATGAGTAAATTAATTAATTAGTTATCAAAACTAGATATTAATTCATGTTGTAGACAGGGGACAAACTATGGCTCCCCTTTCCATAGTATCAGAATTAAGTTTGATTCGCTTTTTTGCTTGTTTTTAGAGGAAATTATGCTATTTTAACTATTGCATCCATTCAAATAACAATTTAAAATCAATTACGAAATATTGTAATACTAAAGTGGGTGCTCCTCATGGTCTGCTGCATCGATATAGCAAGTATTTTTTGGTTTCTTTTAGCAATTTCTTTGGTGCACGACAATTTTGTTTCATATTCACTGTTTTGTTGATTAAAATGGATGTATTTTATAATAACTTTGCACAAGTAGTGGTTTAATAAAGAAATATTGTTGCTAAAATGTGTTTGGTTCGGCAATATATATATCGATTATCACATGTATCGCCGTATTGTGATGATACCGTACTGAATCCTGAAGTAGCCTGTGATTCCCAGCCCCAGCGGCAATAGATCTTACTTCAAAATTTGTTATCGTGACAGGCCTAGTGGTGGGTGGCTAGAATAACGTGCATTGTAGACAGGAGCTGCAGTGACAGATGACGGCTACCGGGGCATTTCAGGAGGGGCCATTTCTTTCCTATCTCTGGCGTTTGGGAAGACGCATTTATGTCATCGGCTGGTTCAAAAATCAATATCTGACTGTGCGGAGCTGAAAAGAATCTGTGTGCCGTCCAGATAGAAGGAGGAGGGAGGGGGGGATACAGAGGTCCAAAGAGTTATCGATTAAAGATGCAGATTTGCTGTTTAAATTAACTCGAGCAAATCCGATGACAGAGCCAGCCAAGCAAACCCAGGCATTTGCTGTATCATTGTGTTGTAGTACTATTGTATCGTGTAGTCTATATACAAGTGTTTTCTGAATAGGCTCTTTACCAGATGTGTTTTTAAAGCGACAATTATGAAGTATGTTGACACTTACATTGATCAAAAGGTAGTTATTTTACGTATTAGAATAAACTCAAATATTCCACTTGAAAGGTTAAAAAGTATTTCAATAATTACTGTGTAAATCAGCACGTGTCTATACAGGGAAAAAGGAGCATAAAAACTGCAGTTGAATCAAATCAATGTGGGGCTATGGTGCACGCTTCATTTCAGCACAGAATGTATGGTATGTGTGAAGGCCATCTAAAATCAATGCAAATCTATTAACACAGGCAGCCAGGTGTCATCCATGTAACAGCCACTGACTCCAGCCTCTTAGCCTTCCTTCCAATTAAAGCTTCTCATCATGAGCCAAGCAGCACATCCCTATTGATCCAACCAGTGTTTAGCTTTAGCCGCAGAGACACGACAGAGAGCAGGTCCTGGCGGGCCACGGTCCGGCCTGGGTCCGACCCTGGTCCGGCGCCGGTCCGGCCTCAGTCTCACTCTGGAGCAGCCTGTCAGAGCAGCTCTCTTCATTACGCTCTGAGGCGTCTCTGCAGGTGTGTGTGTCATTAACACTGCGCTGACAGTTACCGTGTGTCTCTCTGTGTGAGCTCTGAGCCTGCGGTGTCTGTGTCTACACATGGAGGTGTGATGGCCGTGGGGCGGGACTTACCTTCGCTGCAGTCATTGCCTTGGAAACCGGTGTCGGAGCAGTCGCACACGGCCTGGTCGTTGACCACGCTGCACACCCCTCCGTTCTGGCACTGGTGGTCCGGGCCGCAGCCCGTCGTCACGGTGACGCCCTCGGAGCTGTCGAGGGTGACCATGGTCCCGTTGACGCTGAGCGCCGTGATCCAGCCGCGGAAAGGCGGGTGGTCCCGGACCGAGGCGGAGGTGAGGCGCAGCGGCGAGGAGTGTAGCTCCGCCGTGATCCCGCCCACAAAAGTGGGACTAAACACTGTCATATCTCTCCTCTTACTCTTCACCTCCGCCCAGCCCTCCAGCCGCCCGTCCACCTCCAGAGACGTGTTCCTCCAGTCCCGCTTGATGCGCACGGCGTGCCAGCGCCCGTCGCTCACGGCGACACCCGACTGCAGCTCGGCAGGTTCGGCGCAGAAAATGGAGAAGCGCAGACGCAGGTGTCCGTGCAGCAGCAGCAGCTCCAGGAAGTCACAGAAGCCCTCGTCGTCCAGGTACAGCAGGAGGCCCTCCTGACTGTGAGTCCGCAGACTGAAGCTAAGCACACTCTCACAGCACGCGTTCCACACAGGGAACCTCCCCCACTGGCTGGACACGCCCCCAAACTCCAGCACCTCGCCCTGGGCCTGGCCCCCCACACTGCACAGGCACAGCCCGAGGAAGAGCAGCGGGGCAGCCGCCCAAACGCACACCGCCATGGCACTCATACGCTCCTCTCACACACACACAGGCTAGAGCTGGGCCTCGCCACCGGGCCTACAGCTCATGGTGACACTGCAGACGATCAGAGGAGCTGTGGGGCTGAGGGATGTCCGGAGATACACGCGATAGAGCACAGGAGCTTAGCTCAGGGAGGGCATCGTCTTCTGCCCCTTCAGTGTAATCTACAGTCTAACTCCAGCTCTCATTCATTCTTCATGAGCCCTGCGCCGCTCCAGGTGTGTGTCTGTGTGGACATGTGTCTCAGAGTTAGATATGTGACAAATTGGATGTGAACTCCATCTTTGTGGCCTAGATAGGGCCTTATCCCCCATGCAGCCAACTCCCCACGGAGCGCCTCTATGTGCTGTGTGTCTCACACAGTGGTAATGGAGAGAAATGACGCTGTCATAGCAGCCCTCCTCCTCCCTGTGTTAGTGGGGCAGATTTAGAGCGCGTGTGGGCAAATCTGTGTGTGTCACTGAGGTGTAGCTCACTGCCGCGTCATCACTCTCTCCAGCAGCGACCTACAGAGAAACAGAGACAGCACAATCAGCCAGGTCACACACGCGCCCATCAGAAATATGAGGCCCTCCAAACACCTGAGCACACAAATCATCAAACTATCCCTCACACAGGCTCACGAGCCAACGCACAGCGGAGACATAGGTGTACGTGCACGAACAGCGCGTCCACGGAGCTCCCATCATGCAGCAGGACATTTAATAAAGTGCAAAACCAAAACTGTCATCACACCATATGCTTTATTTAGACACGGAAAACCCACAGCGCGGGCTTTTGTCCGGTAAAAGTGCGCCTGTGGCGAGTTACGGAGCGGTAATTGGCGGTAAAGCTGCAGTTTGTGTGGGCTCCGTCACAAAGAGCGGTGGAACCCAGCGCTGCGGCGGATGACTCAAGCGCGGATCTCTTATTGAATTAGCGGCGTTCATATTTCTATCGTGGACATATCACAGTTCATATACAGATAAACGGTAAATTACACGCATAGTTTTAATCCAAGAGAGGTTCGCTGAAAGACGAAAAGCCAGCGACATCACGGTTATTGATAGACGGGGTGAATGAATGCGGTTGAAATATCGATTCTCGATTTGCGGCCATACCTCCCCCCTCTCACCATTTTTCCTCCCGCTACTCATCACCTGCCGCCAACAAACACTTCAAATGGTGCTCACCTCGAGTAGTTTGCGCAGATATTTTGCGGCATTTCACTTCGCCACTTGCAAAAACATCAACTTGACCAACAAAAAAAACACGTTTGGACAATTGCGCTTTTGGGACTTACCTTGTTACGCACGTTTCTCGCTTCCTCGGCAACATTTGGATTCCCTTTGGAGGAGAAACCGAGAGGAAAAACAAAAAAACGCGTACAAAAATCGTCCTTAAAAAACAGTTTCTCGTCTTCGTGTTGGTGTTTTCCCCTCCGCTCGTCTTCCCTTCGTCCCTCTAGCCTCTCTCTCGAGGAGGGAAAGGTGCAGTCTGCCGTTGGTCACGTGGTGCGCGAAAAGGAGAGGAGGAGGAGGAGAGAGGGAGCGAGGGAAGGCGGGAGGGGAGGAAGGGAGGGAGGGATAGACGGAGGAGCGGATAGGCGGGGCCGTGGGCTAATGCAGCAGCACCTTGGACAGCGACAAACGCGATCGCCACGAGAAGATGGAGGGGAAAAAAGCGAAAGGAGCGAGTGATTAGGTGTTTGAGTGGCAGCCACGAGCGCGCGTAAAGTCGTACAGTAGGAGAGGCGAGGGGCGGGGCTTAGACATCTGTAGGTATGTCCATAATAAACACGGGCATTTCACACTAATAAACAAAACAAGACTTGACTATATTAGAAAATACGGTTTGGTAAGACGTAATATGGCGTGAATTTTTAGGCTTATTTATCAATATTAGACTTTACGAGTGAAATGAAAGACAAAAACACAAATATTTAAAGCGATATTACGCAAAATTGATTATTCAGAGCTTTAAGTCATGTTATAATGTTGTTATCTCATCAAAAACAAACCTGGAGTTGTGTTTTGTTTGCTTTCACAACCCTTTATTATCAGTCTGTCCACGTCTCCTAACCTCAAAATGCTCCGTTTCACCTTGTGATGTCACGACGTGGTAGTTTTTAAGTTTATAGCTACGTTTTAGCTTTAGTTCAACAAATATTGGGAGTTGGAAATAACAAAATTGGAGCGCGACACTGAATAAAAAAATATATACATACAGGTGCTCATCAAAGCAGAGGGTTAGATTCTCGTAAAATAGAAAAATGATGGCAGAGGCTCTGATTTGCGGTGAATTTATTAAAAGTCACACACACGCGTTTCGATTACTTGGTCTTCATCAGGGCTAATTGAATGAACAGCAGGTGTGACCATTTATAAAAGGTTACGAACCCAAAACACGTGATAGTTAAAAACAAAACATTTTTCAAATTTTTTTCAAAACATTTGCATGTTGAATCCAAGTATATTGACAACATACCATCCATAACACAACAGATAAATCACACTGTTCTGTATAGGTTGGAGTATAATCAACAATACATAATCCCTTAAGTTGCATAGCACACTTCAAAAATATTGGGAGTTACAAGGCTGAAATTATCCAAAATGATACAGTAGGAGAGGCGAGGGGCGGGGCTTAGACATCTGTAGGTATGTCCATAATAAACACGAGCATTTGACACTAATAAACAAAACACGACTCGACTATATTAGAAAATACGGTTTGGTAAGACGTAATATGATGTGAATTATCAAAAACCTTATTTAGGCTTGAGATAAATATAGATATGTGACTTTATGAGTGAAATGAAAGACAAAAACACAAAGATTTAAAGCGATATTACGCAAAATTGACTATTCAGAGCTTTAAGTCATGTTATAATGTTGTTATCTCATCAAAAACAAACCTGGAGTTGGGTTTTGTTTGCGTTCACAACCTTTTATTATTAGTCTGTTTACATCTCCTAACCTCAAAATGCTCTGTTACACCTTGTGATGTCATGAAGTGGTAGTTTTTCGAGTTTACACCTGCTTTTTAGCTTTAGTTCAACAAATATTGGGAGTTACAAGGCTGAAATTATCCAAAATGACACAGTAGGAGAGGCGAGGGGCGGGGCTTAGACATCATGTCCATAATAAACACGGGCATTTGACACTAATAAACAAAACACGACTCGACTATATTAGAAAGTACGGTTTGGTAAGACGTAATATGGCGTGAATTATCAAAAACCTTATTTAGGCTTGAGATAAATATTGATATGTGACTTTATGAGTGAAATGAAAGACAAAAACACAAAGATTTAAAGCAATATTATTCAAAATTGAGCTTTAAGTCATGTTATAATGTTGTTATCTCATCAAAAACAAACCTGGAGTTGTGTTTTGTTTGTGTTCACAACCTTTTATTATTAGTCTGTCTACGTCTCCTAACCTCAAAACGCTCTGTTACACCTTGTGATGTCATGAAGTGATAGTTTTCGAGTTTACACCTGCTTTTTAGCTTTAGTTCAACAAATATTGGGAGTTACAAGGCTGAAATTATCCAAAATGACACAGTAGGAGAGGCGAGGGGCGGGGCTTAGACATCATGTCCATAATAAACACGGGCATTTGACACTAATAAACAAAACACGACTCGACTATATTAGAAAGTACGGTTTGGTAAGACGTAATATGGCGTGAATTATCAAAAACCTTATTTAGGCTTGAGATAAATATTGATATGTGACTTTATGAGTGAAATGAAAGACAAAAACACAAAGATTTAAAGCAATATTATTCAAAATTGAGCTTTAAGTCATGTTATAATGTTGTTATCTCATCAAAAACAAACCTGGAGTTGTGTTTTGTTTGTGTTCACAACCTTTTATTATTAGTCTGTCTACGTCTCCTAACCTCAAAACGCTCTGTTACACCTTGTGATGTCATGAAGTGATAGTTTTCGAGTTTACAGCTGCTTTTTAGCTTTAGTTCAACAAATATTGGGAGTTCCAGGGCTGAAATGATCCAAAATGATTCTAGTGAAGGTGTATGGAGTTTAAAAATGCAGTGGAGCCACAACATGACATCACAAAGTGGAGCAGAGTGTTTTCCGTTTGAGAGAAGAGAAAGGTTTGTGCGTTAAAAATGTGTGAATGAAACAAAACACAAGTTTGTTTTTGAGGAGGAAATATTATAACATAGATCAGAAAATAATATAATATGCGCCCTTAAAAAAAAAAAAAAAGAAAGAGTCAAATTCGTGTTTATAGTTGTTTATTTCTGGCAAAGAAAACCATTTATTTGTATTTAATCTTGAAAGTGAAAGTGGTTTTAAATGGACGATAGGAGTGAAGGTCTGTTGTCACGGCGGCGCGGGGTCAGGGATACTGCTCCACATCGAGACGCTGATGGAGATGAATCAACTCAAGGTAAAGACCAAACAAAGACCACAGACTGGAGGAGGAGACAGATCAGACTAAACCAGGACTAAACCAGAGATGAACCAGGTCTAAACCAGGTCTAAATCAAGACTAAACCAGGTCTAAATCAAGACTAAAATCAGGTCTAAACCAGAAATAAACCAGGTCTAAATCAAGACTAAACCAGGTCTAAATCAAGGCTAAACCAGGTTTAAACCAAAGCTGAACTAGGGCTAAACCAGGTCTAAATCAAGACTAAACCAGGTTTAAACCAAAGCTGAACTAGGGCTAAACCAGGTCTAAATCAAGACTAAACCAGGTCTAAATCAAGACTAAACCAGGTCTAAATCAAGACTAAACCAGGTCTAAATCAGGACTAAACCAGGTCTAAACCAGGTCTAAATCAAGGACTAAACCAGGTCTAAATCAAGACTAAACCAGGTCTAAACCAAAGCTGAACTAGGGTCTAAACCAGGTCTAAATCAAGACTAAACCAGGTCTAAATCAGGTCTAAACCAGGACTAAATCAGGTCTAAACCATGACTAAGTCAGGACTAAATCAAGGCTAAACCAGGACTAAACCAT